AAATTTAAAAAATAATTGAATATCATAATAATTTTTAACTATAATTATAACGTAATACAATTTTACATAATCACAATTACAATGACAAAACTTAAAAAAAAAAACCCCTCACAATCCCACCGTTTGGATTTTCAGTTTGGGGACGAATAAACAGAAAAACTTATAACGTCCACGGGTGATATTTGGATTAATGTCAGGAAAATTGCAATAAAAACCCCAGGGTTTTTCTTCTTAAGGCTTATGAACGAAGAGAGAGCAGAATCAAAGAGAAGACGAAGAAGCCACAGCAGCAGCAATAATGGGTTGGATCGGAGAAAGCATAGACTCCATCAAGTCAATTCAGATCCGGCAGCTCCTCACCCAGGCCGTCAGTCTTGGTAATTGTTATTTTGTCGGAATTCTAAACCTAGAAGCTTTCAGGTTTTGGTTAAATTGAAACGTTTTTCGTTTCAGGCATGATCGTTACATCGGCTCTAATAATATGGAAGGCCTTGATGTGCATCACTGGAAGCGAATCTCCTGTCGTCGTTGTTCTTTCTGGAAGCATGGAACCTGGTTTCAAGAGGGTATTTCAATGCTTATTATATCAAAATGATTGTTTGAAATGAAATTACTTCCATGCACAACATTTTCGATTATCATATGCAGGGAGATATTTTGTTCTTACACATGAGTAAAGATCCCATTCGGGCTGGGGAGATTGTTGTTTTTAATGTTGATGTAAGTACCCTTACTTCTGTTTTATTGGGTTTTTTTTTTTTTTTGGCACATATTGTGATTTTATTCTAAATGATAATTAGATTTTCTTTAAGAAATTTGATAATTTATATCATTTCAAATTCAATCTTACTGTCTTTTGATGTGTGGGTTGATGTTATTTTGTGATTGTAAGTACCCTTTTAGTTCTATATATTGTTCTTCAGCTCCCTCCTTTACTAATTTTTGTCTAATTGTGCCATTTTCAGGGCCGTGAAATTCCAATTGTCCATCGTGTTATTAAGGTAAATATTTGACTGGCTGCATGTTAGTTTAGATGCCTCCATTTCTTAGAAGTGTGTTGAAACTTTTGCCTTTTCATTTCCTTCCTTTTGTTTTTATGTATATGTGGAATTGGTACATATGCCTGTCAATGCAAGAGATTATTGGATTAGTACATGCAGACTGCCATTGTTACGTCTCCTTCACCATTTTGGATTCTAAAAAAATGCATATCCATCATTGATTTAGTGGGGAAGAACCTTCTTCAAAATTAAAGCAAAGATCCATGATCTATTGATTGTTTTAGTAGTAATGGCTGCTGAACTACCCTTTATTTATTTATTTATTTTTTTCTCATTATGCTAGTGAGTTGTATTGACATGACTCAAAATGATAATTACCAGTAGGATTTAAGGAGTTGCAAAAGGAATTGTATTGGTTGGAGTGTGAACTTGGAGTATCCAAGATAATTTTAAATTGCCTATTCATTGCTCATGTCCTGAAATTTATAATGAGTGGGATAATATGAAGTATTCAATTCAAGAATGCTGATTGCTCGAAGGATGCATTTTTGTTTTGTTAATCAGCTTCTGAAATTCTAAAGTTGGTTTGTGAAATGCTATTTTTTTATTTTTTATTTTTTTGCTGTGTTCTGTTTCTAAGTTATTTATTTATATGTATACATTTCCCTGGGATCCACATTGTCTAAAAAAACCATGGGTTTTTTGAACTGGAAAGATAATTGATGCAGGGAAGATAGGGATAGAACAAACAGAAACTAAGAACTTTGTAAAAATTAAAGATGGAACCAAGAAAACTTAGGGTTTCAACCTTGAGTTTATTCTCAAAATAAAATCTGATAACAAAAACTGATTTAGAGATCTAAGAATAACTATATACACTAAAAGTAGCCAGGAATCCTAATTCAATTCTAATTTGAACTTCTAGTCACCTACTAATTCTAGTCCTAATTAAAAGTCACATGCTATCCACGACTTTCCTAAAATTAAAACTTAGACTTTAAATAAAACTCAAACTTAATGCAAAACAAACAGCCCTAAAACTAATAATTAAAAAGAACTTTTATGCTTCTGCATCATTGTCCCCTGGTTGGAAATTTAGCTTGGTTCAAATTGAAAGACTTGTCAGCTTCAACATGTTTATCTGGACCAATTTTTCTGAATTTCTCCTCTGCAATCCTGTCACATGTACATTCGTCTGACCATTTTTCCAGAAATTGCTTGGATGAGTTGGCCTTTCTTGATTTCACTTCATAACACCAAGTGTGTCTTTAAGAACATTTTCTTGCACTTCTTCTTTAGTTTAAACTTCAATTTTTATGATCGATGAATGGCCAACAAACTTGCTTCCAGTTAGTGAACTCTTTGTTTGATTGCCTTTAAAGGATGCAATTTATATTTCTTGTTGCCCTTTTGAAAGGAATAGGTATTCAGCTTTGTGTGGTGTATCATGTCATGATCATATAACCATGGTCTACCCTAAAGAATATGTGCAGCATCCATCAGAACAACATCACATAAAGCTTTTTCTTCTAGATCACAACCCATTGTAAAACTTACCAAACAATGAGATGTAATTGGTAACTCACTGCCCTTCTTAAGCCACCTGATTTTATAGGGATGGGGATGCTTCTCAATAGGTAATTGTAATTTTTCCACTGCCTCCTTTGAAATAACATTCTCCACACTGCCACTATCAATAATTAGGTTACATACCTTGCCACCACAGAGACCACCTGTTCAAAAAATACTATGCCCCTGCCAATCTTCTTCATGATTTTCCCTAGTTGCAGTCATCACCGTTTGAATCATCAAGGACTCATCTTTAACTGGCAGAATGTCCACCTCTTCAAATTTGTCACAATAATCATCATAAATGGGTTTTGATGCGTCACCTACTTCTTCCTCAAAATTGGCTAGGTTTACCTGGCATTGTGGACAAGAATAGGAGTAATGTCACCTCCCTCCACAACTAAAACACTAAACTTTTGAATTTCCTTGAATATTACAACTAGAAGCCACATTCTTTCCCTTGTCTATGCTCCTTTTTTGGTTATGGCAGCCCCTCCAGCACTATTGTTTCCTTTGGAATCATTATAAATCTGATCACATATGGGTTTCCTAGCTCCAGATTGCTTTACTCGCTTTTCTGCCTTTAGAGCATACTGCTGAGCATCTCCAAACTGTTTCAAAGTATGAAATTTTTCAGACAAATCTATTGCATAATCTGCTGGCAAAAGTTGTTTCTGCATCTTTGTTTTCATGGGCTCCCAGGTGCTGATTTTTGGTTTGCCTTGTCAAAAAGGCTGTTCTTCAACTCTCTTCCACCATCGAAGTGCAGTTCCTTTCAACTTAAGCTTCACAAAAACGACTCTCCTATTTTCTACCATGTGTTTCCATTCAGAATAATTGTCCAGGCTAGCTTCCCAATCAAGATAATTTCTGCATGCATCTTTCCATGAAAATCAGTGACTTCTTTTTTAATTCCACCACTGTTCAGATCAAGGGCATGTATTAACTGCTTTTCCAATCCACCTCTTACTGCTTGATTTGTGATTCCAGCATCATGAAAAGGGTTTTCATCTCTTCCATCCACGGTCTCATCCTCCAGACTACCTTCTGGTGTGTCTGCAGGGTTATGGTTACCTTCCAGCATCTCCATACGGGTTCCCATGGGTTCCTGTCAGCTGTTGCTGTAAAGCTCGCACAGCTCACAACAAGTCCTCAATCATATGTTGCATCTCAGTTAATTCTGCTTGTTGGCCTTTATTTCCTCTGCCATGACCAGCCATAACTCTAATACCAATTTGATGCAAGGAAGATTGGGGTAGAACAAACAGAAACTGAGAACGTAGTGAAAATTAAAGATGGTACCAAGAAAACTTAGGTTTCAACCTCAAGTTTATTCTCAGAATAAGATCATATAACAAAAACTGGTTTAGAGATCTAAGAATAACTATATATACTAACAGCAGCCAAGAATGCTAATTCAATTCTAGTTTGAACTTCTAATCACCTACTAATTCTAGTCCTAATTAAAAGTCACATGCCATCTGCATGACTTTCCTAAAATTAAAACATAGACTCCAAATAAACTTAATCCAAAACAAACAGCCCTAAAACTAATAATTAAAAAGAACCTTTATGCTCCTGCATCATAAAAAATAGGTGTAGTGATAGAAAATTGTTTCCCTTGTGGTAGTAGTAAGACTGCTAGTTTTTGCTACAATTTACAATTAGAGTCAAGATATCATGGCATCTCAAACTCAATATATATATATTTTTTTGGTTTAATAGAATCAGTCTATATTTTCTCGCAAGTGAGAGTCAAAAAAACGATAGCTCCTAAATTGTATTTCATTTGTTCAGCAATCTTGTTTGCTTGAACCATATAGGGGTGAAATTTTGTATCGAATTATTGTTTGCCAAAGTAATACTATGTAATAAGTAATGTTGGTCTTTTCTATAGGGAAAATGATGTGTGCACACCTGGATTCAACACCTGGGTGTGCACACTCCGCATAAAAAAAAAAAAAATGGAGAACACCCGGTCCATTCTTTTTTTTTTATGTGGAGGGTGCACACCCGGGTGTTGGATCCGGGTGTGCACCAATCATGGCCCTTTCTATAGCTTGATTGCTTATGAATTTTATATTTCAAGTCTTATTTATTGCTAATACTTCTGCAGATTTGCATGGGAGTAGGAAAATGTACTTCTCTTATTTTTATTTAAAGTTTTGTTTCCATTTTCAACCATGATCTTATCATCTAGTGAATATGCTTTTGTTTCAGGTCCATGAGAGACAAGACACTGGGGAAGTTGATGTCCTCACAAAAGGTGCTGGGTTCTTAAAATAAATATTAAATTGTTGGAAATTGACAGAATTGAAAATTCTTATTAAACATTCTTCCTTTATCCTTGCTCTTTCAGGGGACAACAATTATGGTGATGACAGGCTTTTGTATGCTCAAGGGCAGCTCTGGCTTCAGCGGCATCATATAATGGGCAGAGCCGTTGGGTAAAGCTCTAGCATTCACTTCTTTTGATTTAAAGCAGTCCTAGTGAACAATAACATTTTTCTTTTGTTGTCAGTTATCCCTGTCCATGTTGGAAAATCAGAACATTTCTGGAGAACTAACCTGCTCACATATTTGCAAACAGTTGCATATCAAGCATGTAACATTAGTGTGGGCACATATTTTTCCTTTTAAAACTTGACCATTAGAATAAGGAGAGCACTTTTCATTTTACATTCTTTTCTTCTGTGTGAGGATGTTGTTTATTAAGAACCCTAAACCCTAAACTTGATATCTTGCTGTTGAGATTTAGTGAAAATCAAAGTAAGCCCAAGAAATATTGAACCCCAAACCTAAGTGTGTGGTTGAGGGACTGGGTATTGCCTCCTTGACTTGCTTATCACAAATACCATTTTGCCTTAAAGGTCATGCAAGCCTGTTTTACACCTGGGTTGATATAAAGGAGCTCAACCCTGCCACAGAATTCAAGACTGAAAATTGATTTCAATTTGTACTTTTTTTTCTTGCATGCATTTCATCTAAATAAATCAATCTTGTTTCAAGTAAACAATTGTTTGACCTCTTTCTTAGAAGAGAGAAATTCCTCAAATTGATAACTTCTGTGATTTGCAGGTTCTTACCCTATGTTGGTTGGGTGACAATAATCATGACTGAAAAGCCCATCATTAAGGTTTGTTTACTTTAAAATATGTTGCTCTTATCCAAAAATCTAGAATGTAGTACAAATGGAATGTGGATTCTTTGCACTTGCACAACTACTGTCATGGAGGGTTTAACATTGTAATTTGCCTTTGTGATTTCCCCATTTTAACCTGAGATTTCGCATTACTCCCTGCTTCTTGATTTTCTCCTTTTTCTTTTCATCATAAATCATCACACTTTTTGTTTATGAATTATGACTGCTGCATTGGTGACGTTCATACTTATCTTATGGGATTTCTTTTTCTGGATAAAAAGTGACCTTTGAGCCTTTCTCGCAGTATATTCTTATTGGTGCATTAGGGTTGCTGGTTATTACTTCCAAGGACTAGAGATGAAGCAATGGCTGAGTTTGCTCGAGTCTGAAAAACTTTCCAAGTTTTTTTCCTCTACATGTACTCAGAAAAACTTAAATCATAATTGGATAGATTACAGCACCGAAGTTGATTATGTATTGCAGGCTTCAGCAACTCTTTTTTATCTTATAATTTAATGGATTTTGGGGCTACCTCTTATTTCTCACTGGATTTAAGTTTGATATGATCTTAGAAAGTGGAAGTTTCAAAGCATAGAGAAAAAAAAAAAAAAAATTCTTCATCATTATGCTCAAAACTTTCTAGCGTTTCTCAATTGAGCTCTCTCTAATTCTTGAGCTCTCTCTAATTCTTGGACAATCAAGACCTCACACCTTTATTTACATGTCAAGAAACAAAATTTTCATTAGTAATTAATTGTAATAGTTAAAAATTACACATCCAAAGATGAAAACTACCATCAACTATAAATATTTATGTGGAATGTGACTCAATTATGATAAGAGTATGGAAGATATTTATGTAGCTACCCTAAATTACAAAATCTTTATTTTAAAATGAAATGGCAGTTTTACCTCGTATGGCTGGTAATCAAAATTTTTAATTCAAGAGCAAATGAGGTGTGAGGTCTTGTGATAAAGAGAATGCAAGCATATATGAGAAAGATTTATGTCTTACACGTTGGATTGCATGTTAGAAGTATGGTTTGGGTGTTAAAATTACTAAATTATTATTAATAAAATTACATAAAAATAATCTTACTAATGATATTTTAATAAATTCATTACGTAATTCAATATGTAAAATACATTTTTTTAAAGTAAAACAATGTGAAACTTGTATCAGCATTGAAAGCACCCCAATGTTTTTGGAAAAAACTTACCTTTAGCCTCTTACCTTACCAAGTTTAAAGGTTTTAGTCCCTTACGTTGTACTATAACACTTTGAACCCCTCCCCTTATTAGATTTGTAGATTTTAACTCCTTACTTATTAAAACCGAAGAAAATAACCCCACTTTATACTGATTGTTAACTCTGTTAGTTGAAAATAAGTTTTTGTCAACTAACAATCAACTAACAATCAACTAATAGTCAGCTACCAGAATGAATGAAATATTATAAAGTTAGTTTTGTTAATTCTATTAGCTAAAAAAAAGTTTTTCTTAGCTAAAAGTCAATTAACAGTTAGATAATAAAGTTACTAGTCAACTAATAGAACTAACAAAATGTTACAAAGTGAAGACTATTTTCTTCAATTTTAATAGTTAAGGGGCTAAAAATCTCATAGTATAAGATGAAGGGTTAAAAGTGTCATAATATAAGGTGAGAGACTAAAACCTTCAAACTTGATGACGTGAGAGGCTAAAACTAAGCTTTTGCCAACGTTTTCACAATTTGTTTGGTAGTGGTTAGAAAATTTTTTTTGGGATGGGCAAAATGAAATTTTAATTGAATGATGTGTTTATGTATGAATTAGAGAGTAGATGAAAAAGAAATTTGTTAGTAAAACAAATTATTTCTTGTTAATTTTTAATGATAAACTAATCATGGTAAATGCCATCAACTTAAGCACAAAAATGAACATAATATTATTTTTTTTCTATGTTTCAACTATTAGAGTATCTTTTTTTCTTTTTTCTTTTTTTTTGTGATAAGGAGAACACTAGTTAAAAGTTAGTATCTGTTCAGTTAGCAGGAAGAATCGAACTTAGGTGAACTCTACCTGCTCCTCATGGAGGAGCGTGGCCCATCCACTAGGCCACATGGAGGAGTTCAACTATTAGAGTATCTTTGAATCAACTTATTTGCACACAAATTATTTTAAAACTGCACACCACAATGGCTTGGTATCTTCAAAAAAAATTAATTTCTATGTGTCGATCTTAAGAGAATCAACTTATTTGCACACAAATGATTTTAAAACTGCGCACCACAATGGCTTGGTATCTTCAAAAAAATTAATTTCTATATGTGTTTATCTTAAGACTTAAACTCTAAATCTAGCTTATAAGACACTTGAATGAACATAGATTGATTATAAGAATACTAATAAACTAAAAATAAAAAGCAAAATGATATTAGTGAACAAACACTTAATAAAATAACAATATTGAATAATTTTCATAATTTTTCCTCACATTTCATATTGTCTTTATTTTAATTATCTTTTTCATCATCACCAAAAGTAATTATAATAATAATGAATTAAAAAATTAAAATAATATAAAATAAATAAATAAATAATAAAAATAGAACTAAATGGACCAAACTAATAATTTTACAAAAGCTTGGGGGGCCTTGGCTAGGGGTGGGCATCAGTTGGTTCAGTGGCCAAAACTGGCTAATAATAACGGTTAACTTCCTTTTTGGTTGAAGAAAAGTGCCAACCGTTTACTAAACCATATTTGCTTAGGTTGTGTTGGTTTAGTGATCAATCCATCTTGATTTTTTAATTTTGGTTTCAATTTTGACCAAAATAGATTTTTATGAGAGGAATAGAAAAGAATAATGGGAGATGAAGATTGTGATGGCAACGTATTATCCTCTTACAGCTAGGAGTTGGTCCGCACGATAAAATCTAGAGTTCTTATATTCGGATATGTAGAAGGAAGACTAATTTTTGAGTTCTTTTGATTTCTCTCCCTTACATTTTAGATCTAAACAAAGAGAAGAAAGTATTGAATGAAAAAAGTTTTGGATTGAAATTGTTTGATTTGGACGAGAGATGCCACAAAATGATAAGTTCATCTTAGATCATTCAAAAAGGAAAGAAAAAAAAAAGGTATGAAAAAGGGAAGAAAGTGGGAACCGAAATGAAAGAGGTGAGAGTGAGGTGAGGAAGAAAGAACAAGTAGGGTTTAGATTTTTATCCAATATTGTAAATTAAACTAGTTAAATCTGATGACTAAAATCAAATCAAAATAAATTATAAAAATAAATCAAATATTTAATGATATGTGGACCAATAAAATTTCAATTTAAAAAGTCAAATATGCTATGATGAAAAAAAAAAAGAGAGAGGAGAAAATATGATAAATACAGCATCCAAAACACTTGCATAATCTAAAAAAAAAAATTAGAATTAAAAAATATTGAGGTTTCGGCTTTGGTTTTTCTAGGCCTTCCTCTAGTTTTCGGGGCTTGGGCCTTACAACTAAAGCCCGCCCAACTAGACTTTAGGTTTTATGAGTTAATTTCACTTTAATAAAAGTATTAGGTAGTTTAAGTAACAGAATGATGAAAGTCAAGTATCATCCTATAAAAATTATAGACTAATTAATTATTAAAATTAATTAATTTTAATTTTATTTGAACTATTGTAATTAAATGATTTGAATAAACTAATTAACTACTCTAATTAAGAAAAATTAAATTGACTTTAAGTAACATTAAGAGTTAAAATTTTAAAGCATCTAATTTCATCATAATTAATTAATATAAAATTTAAATTAATATACTATTAAGGTATTTATTATTCATATGATAGTGGGATTTCCTATCATATTTAATATATTTCCTCAAGTTATACCAAATCT